AATAGATGTTCGTATTCTTTATACTATTTAGGGAACTTTAGAGTTGCGCTATTCTCCCTTCCTCTCGCTTCGTGATCCGTTGGCCTGGTTTCAGTATCTGCGGAGTGTGGCTTCCTATCCTGGGAACTACCTTTCGAGTACGCTCTTCTCTCGGCGTTATTGCACTGCATGGCAATGTTACTCTCATCTACTATCGAACTCTGCTAATGCGTAGGCTGGCTTGCGGGTGCGTCCGTTCCGCAGCACTCAAATTGAAACACCTTTGACTTCTAGTTGATTCGCGGGTTGTGTTTCCTAAGCTATAGGAGCCCTAAAATAATGTCGTAGGTAGCTAGTCTAATAACGTCTAGGTTAATCTCTTCCTTATGCTCCTAGATGCTAAGTGTCACTTGTCTAACCTCGTGTGTAATTTCGCTTTCGTTTAGCATTAGTTCGCCATTAGCTACGTGTAGTAGGTAAGGCTGTTGTTTCTATTGTAACTTAAGTCTAGCTCAGGTTACTACGTGCGCTAAAACATAGTTTGCCTATGATCCCAAATCCACTAGTGCCTGCATCCATGTTCTGTTAAGCTTTGTCTTAAGCTTTATTAATCTTAGGGGTTCTAGTACGTTAATTTCCCTAGAGGGGCCTTATTGCCCTATCGCTAGCCTAAAAAAGACTCTTGTTATTAATATCTGTAGTAGTCTTTTGCCACTGCGTGCTTGTCGCAATCCGTGCTTAAGCACGTGTACTACTAGTCTTCCCTGCATTCTATCAAGGGGCTATCTAGGTACTGCACTTCGTATGCTGTCTGCATCTATATAATGTCCTAGAGATCTTCTTGTTCTAGAAAGTGCATCCTTTCTCGCTTGTCCTATAAGTGTTTAGGGCAGCTGTCGTTTTTGCATTCGTACTATAGCTATTTGCACTTAGGCATGCCCTTAGCGTGCTGTAGGCTCCATCTAGCTCCTTTCTTGTCTAAGTAGTAAGTTGGGCAGTAGTCATGCGTACACGCAGTCTATGATAGGCTGGCGTGATTCTTGTTCCTTGCGTCGTACTAGTACCACACAGGTTCCGTAGAGTTGTCCCATGCTTAGTTTTGCTTAGCTTATTGTGCCTATTGTAGTATAAGGCCTTCCCTTAGCTAATTAATGTTGCTATTAATATACTCATATATAGGTAGTCGCTGTGTTGTCTAGACTTAGTAGAAGTCGATGTCCAATCGTAGGTGCTACAGTTGTTAGTACAAGTTAAGCAGCGTTTTGTTATTATTATCCTTAGTAGTGTAAGGTTTATTAGGGTGTCCTAGTAGTGTAGATAGGGCGTTAATCTATTTAGTTACTTCTGCTAGGATTTCTTAACGTTGGGTCTTGGGTGATTCTACAGTGCCCGTGCACCAGATGAGCACCATCGCCAGTTGAGCACCCCCACCACCACAACAACAAAACTTCAACGCGTCAAAACTCAACCAATATGGACCCGATTCAAGAAGCGATTGCAGAAATCGAATCGCGAGAACTAGGAGATAAATTCTCGTATCAAGCAATCGCGAAAAAGCATGGTGTAGCACGAATGACGTTGATGAGACGACACCGCGGCGAAACTGAGGCCTATGGCGTGCGCAACCTCTCCCTCCATCCACAACACGAGAAGGAGCTTGTACGATACATCGATACGCTTACCGAACGACGTTTGCCACCTACGAAGGAAATGATA